GAGCAGAGCTCAGATGGTCACAGGAAAGGGCAGCAGGTTTATGAGTGTTGATACTTTACTCACTGCAGAGCTGGGCTTTCTTCTCCCATGATTCTTCCTTTTTATTGGTCCACTGGTGATGCTCTGTAGTCACAGTAATGACGATGTTTACTCCAGGCTTAAGAGCCTGTGTTTCTCCCTCTCATATTAGGTGTAAAATGGAATATTAACTTGGAATATTGCCTCTCCCTCTTGGGCAGTGGTGGGGCCATTAATGTCAGAATAAGTCAAGTCGACCTTGCCTCTTGCAGAAGCTCAACCTTCTCTGCCTGTTTGCTCTTTAGGGCTCATCAGTCAGGCCCCAGCTCCCGGTTCTGGCTGCTCCTATATTTTCAAACTCCTGGTGACTCATGAATCCCTGAACTGTTAATAAAGCTTGATGCCCTTATCTCCTGTCTTTATTTAGTGGTTTCTAAGGCTGTATTAAATTATAGATACTCCTTGTTAAAACTAAAAAGAAAAAAATTAATCTTACCTTGTGGATGCATGCAGAAATCTTATCCATATCTAATTTTTTGATAAGAATAAAAATACAAGGAAGACACGGGTGTTAGTGAAGCTTGTTACTGTGGAAACATTGTCTCATTCACAGGAATGCCTGAAATTAGGGGATAAGAGGATAATGGAAGAGTGAATATAATCAAAGCATATACGGTATATGTATGAAATTGTAAAAAAAAAAAAAAAAAAAAAAAGGGAGCGAATTTGAAATTACCCATAACCTAGAAGAAATAACTTCCCACTTGTCATATTTATATTTAAAAACCAATATAAAGACATTCGGAACTATAATGATGATAAAATAAAGTGATCTCAAAGTGTTTCTGGGAGCACGCAGTATCTGGAAATGGATCATAGAGGGTGTATTTCAGTTTAGACTTGAAATAGGGCATTCCCAGCTGTGGATCCAATACAAGCACGGTTTCCAGGAGCAGCCTGAGCCTGAGCAGATTAAAATTATCAGGAAAAGAAAAATGACCGGTGAGGAAGGAGAAAAATCACTAGATGAAGTGTTTGTACAAAGAAGAGTAATTAACTCTCATGTGCCTATGGGACATCTGATAAGGACAGAGAATGGAGCACTAAATCTGACAGAAAATGGACTCTTGCTGGCTGGTAGTGCACAGCTGCAGAATGGTAGGAAGGCAACAGCCAGCTGGAGTGGTGTGGGGAACAACAAATGGAGAGGGAGCAGGGAAGGCAACACAGTGAAGAGCTTTAAGTTTCCTCCAAAGGGAACACACCTTTAGACCCCACCCCCGTCCCACATTCCATCCCTTTTGCTAAGCTTCCATTTGGAGAAAACTTTAATTTGGATGAACCTTCATTTTTCTTGTCTTCAGTTTCCTCATCATTTAATGAAGGGTTAGCTTTCTTCCACTGAGTAACTTCTGCACCTTTGTCAAAGTTGTGCATATCTGAGTGGGTCTGGGTGTGAGGTGTCAGAAAATGCCCCTCTTAAAGGTGTATTTCAGTTGAGACTTGAAAGATACAGACTGCCCATCAGAGACTATCAGAAGTGTAGGCCATCCCCAGCTGTGGACCTATGGCTAAACATACGCGTGTCAGGGAAGCTGGGGCAAGGTTGGCATGACTTATTTTAACATTAAGATGGTCTCAATATCCAAGAGAAAGAGGCCATTGAGCTGTGGGTCTGTCTGCCACCAATGCCATGTGCTGGTTACTGTAGCTCTCTAGAACCTTGAAATCATGTAGACCGATCATCTGTCACTTCATTCATTTTTCAAAACTGCATTAGCTGTTTTTGTTTGTCTTTTATAAATATATTTTAGTATAACCTTATCTACATAGCCAAAATTGAGATTTTGATAGAAATTGTATTAACTTGGTAAACTTTAATAAATCGTAGAGAAGTGACATCTTTACTATTAGTGCTCCAACGGTGACCATAGTGCTTGTCCATTTATGAGGTCTTCCATTTCTCAGCACTGTGTAGCTTTCACACTTCTCAGCATGATGGCCTTGTTGCTTTGATACATAAATGCCCTAAGTGATTATAAGTGAAACTACTTTTTAGTTCATGTCTGTATGTTCATTCCCAATACCAAAACACTTTTTAATAGACAGGGAGTTTGTATGCAGTGACTCATTCATTCTACCCCCTCCTTTAAACTCAGTCTCTTAGTCTTCAATAGTTGTTAAATACATGTGTAACACAACATATATAAATGTGACATATTACTATTTGTCCAACATATGCATATGTAATACACATATACATACAATCTACTGTGTCTGTTTAGTATTACTTATGTGTATATTTTCAAGGCTGACCACTTGGTATTGGATAACCAAATAGGGGTCTCATCCCAGGACAGACTAATTCTCTCTCAGCAGCTAATTGCCCATAGCTCTTCATGTAGGGTTGGGGCCCCATGAGACCAGCACATTAACCAGTGTCCTCATTGTTCACATCTTGTTTAGGCAACCATATTGTTGAAATTTCATGGGTGGGGCATCTAGAAAACAAATTGTTGCAGCAGACATCCTTTCTGGCTCTTAAAGTCTTTTTGTTACCCTCTTTATGTTCACTGAGTCTCAACTGTAAGGGTTGTGTTGCAGATGTATCACCTGGGGTTGTGTGGCCGTCAGTTATACTCTGAAATTTGACCAGTTGAGGCTCTCTGTAAAAGACTTCGGCAAAAGAGGCTTCTTTGATACGGATCAAGCTACACATAACTGTAGGTGTAACTATTCAGAATACAGTTAGGGCCTATACTGGTTTAGGAAAGTGATAGTACTATTCAGACCTCAGGAGCCACAGGCAGTTGGCTACATTCACATTACCAGGCATAATTTCCCTCTTGAGATCTTACATCCAATCAGATAGCTGATGATTTGGTTATTGCCAAGATTTAAGTGCCACTCTTGTACTTCAGACAGTACTTTCCATTTTCATATTTATTCTTAAATCCATAAGCATAAGAGACCTTCCATCTTTTAGTATCTTCAAGTTTTTCCTTCAGTGTTATGAAGTTTTTGTTGTAGAGGTTTTCCACCTTCCTGGTTAGGTTTATTCCTCAGTTATTTGGGATTTTTGAAGCTCTTATGAATATTACCAACTTCCCACCCCAAGATTCTTTCAATGAATTCACTACCAGTATGTAGAAAAGCCCCCCCCTACATTAATGGTCACCACAAAAAAACAATCTATTGTTTTGTTATCCTTATCTGGTTCTGGTATCAAGTTCATGTTAGGCTTGAAGAATTTTAAAATGTATTTTTCTTACGCTGAGCATGGTGGCACATGCCTATAATCCTGGCACTGGCACTTAAGACAAATGCAAGAAAACTGCTCCAAATGTAAGATTTGCCAGGTCTATATGGTGGGACACACGATACTTTGAGCCACATAATGAAACCTCCTCTCAAAAACAGAAAAAAAAAAAAAAAAAAAAAAAAAAAAACCAACCAACCAAACGCTTGGCACAGTGACTATCCATGGAAAGGGGGTACAGTGTGACTTGTCAGTCATGCATATAGTATGCAAGGATCAGACGGCCATTGGTGACACTAATACACAGACTTTGTTTCTGCTATGAATATTCAAAATCCTAACAGTTACTTTTACATAGTCAATTTTTTTTTCTAAGTGGTTCTACTACATCACTAGAAGTTAGCACTTTTACCCAACTATATCCATGACTTAAATTTTCTCTGTTCCCAGAAGTGTATGTACATTTTGCTGTTGCATGTTATGATGTTTAGGGTTTTTTGTTTGTTTGTTTTTGTGTCAATGTGACACAAAGCTAGTCACCAGAGAACAGTGAACCATAGTTGGGGAAAATGACCCTACCAGACTGGCCTGTAGGCAAATCATAGAGCATTTCCTTGATTAATGATTGATGTGGTTCGGTCCAGCCCACCAAGGGTGGTATCATCCCTGGGCAGATAGTCCTGAGTCAAAGCCATGGGGTCAAGCCTGTGAGTGTGTTCCTCAAGGCCTCTGCTTCAGTTCCTGCCCTGACTTCCCTTCACGAAGGACCAGGAGCTGTGAGGTGGGATAAACCCTTTCCTCAAGTTGTTTTTGGTCATAGTCTTTTTTCACAGCAGCAGAGAGCTAAGACAAGTATGACTTATCCTACAAGTGTCAAGCAGACTCTGTCAGCTGTAGGTGGTGCTGTTCTCCCAGATCTTTAATTAAAGGGTTGCTCAAGTTTCTCAGCACCTTTTACTTCACGTATTTTGCAGGTCAACATCTGGTGCCTGCTGTATGGGATTCCTATCTCCTCAATGGCCTGCCTCCAACCCCTTGTGAGATGATGCATGTGCCTGAAATTCTAGATACAAGAGGCTGACACAGAAGGATGGTGAGTTCAAATTCAGCCAAAATTATGCAGTGAGATCTCACCTCATGAGAAATACAAAGAGCAAAGGGCAGAAATATAAAAATATACAACGCTCCTTTCTTCTGAAATGTGTTCCACAGAGGATTTTTTTTTTTTCTCAGTAAGACTGACTGCCAATCTACTTCCCTCAAGTTCTTGCCTAAAACACTGCAAACTTCAGGTTAGCAAACAAGAAAGAACAAGTCTCTTGGTCTGGTAAGCATCTCTAAAACTCCATCATTAAGATGAGACAGCTGATGTGGTCATTGTAGCCATTACTGTAGCAGAAACTTACCTGCTACACAGCCTTTTCCTCTCCCAGAGCCGGAAGCTGAGAGGGCAACAGGTTTCCTCAGCCCTTCTGTCCCCACTCCATGCCTCATACCCTCCCAACAGCCACTGCTCTCCAGTCACTACCATCCTACCCCTCTAGAGAGAGACAAGACTGAGGGGCTGCTATTCGGGTTATCTCTGCAATGCCATTATTTCCCATCTCAAAGTCCCAAAGAAGGAAAATGTTGATCTCAAGTGTGAAAATTCTTAAAGCAATCAGGAACTCTTTCCAGATCCAAGACATCCATGAGCTTAAGAAAAAGAATGAGCACATAATGATTTAGTTGGCTTTCTCTTTTAATCAAAAACATACTTTGTTACAGAGTTCTCAAGAAAGTTTCAACTTTTTTTTTTTTTTTTTTTTTTTTTTTTTTTAAGCCACAGACTTCAACCAGGCAAAAGTATATAGAAAGGAAGTAACTGGTGCTTCAGCTGACCAGGTTTTTCCTAAAAGCACAAGCTGAGTGACCCCAGAGGAGCAGAGAGCTGGAAGTACCTCCACCAAATCTGTCCCCAACCCCGCAGCCACTTCTGCAGTACACCAGTTTTTATCCCCTCTAGGCAGCCATGCTTTTCTCTTAAGTCACATGTCCGATGCATTGAACAAAAAAATCCTCCATTTGGAGGAAGTTTGCCAACTCCATGTTTAGTTTTTGAACCACTCCAAACCTGTGAGCCCTTCTACCAATGACAAGCAGCCTTAGCAAGAGCAGCTGGTTTCATCCCTCTTCACCAGCTACCACAGAGCCAGCCTCTACCAGGACTCCCCAAGCCCCCACCCCCGAGCCCACCCCCTAGAAAGGTTCCCAGGTCCTTAAAAATAACAAACTCAGTTATACTCATCCAAGCAGGCTGGAAGAGAACTCTCTGAAAGGAATGATCCAGCCAAAAGTTATCTAATCAAAAGGATATAAAAGAGGCAAAAGTAAAGTGAATCATTCACTGATACTGTTTTCCATAGCATCAATTAAAATATTGATAGAATTCTGAAAACCTTCCTGTTCTGAGCAGAGAAGAGTTAAGCAACTCAAGATCCAAAGGAAGGACCTCTAATATCACTAGGCATTAACAACAGTGTTTCAATCTATTAGGAGGACAGTGTCACACACACACCAACTTCAGAGTCAGAATGTCATGACTTAGAAGAGCCTTTAGACAGGCCTCAACAGAGATGATGGCAAAATGAAATGAAGGCCCCCCCACCCCGGGTGTTTATGTTTTACACTGTACTTACTGCAGCCCCTAAGGTGGTGCTAGGCCTTTGGTTAAAAGTAAGTCGTAAGGACATATGTAACTACTTGTCCACAGAAGAACAGATAATGAAAGATCAAGCCTAGTCTCACTGAGTAACAGAGAAATAAGCAAGAACCCCCCTCAAACAGCAGAACACAGGTACAGAGCGAATGCCATACTGCTACAAGGTGGGCAAGGTCACTTAGAAGCCTGAGCTGGCAGGACAGTCCAACCCCTCATTTCACAGGTGAGGCAGCTGAGGCCTAAGAAGGGAAACGACTTGCCAAGAACATACTAAATCATGAATAAAAGTGCCACCATCTGAGTCCAGAGCCACACGTTTTCAGTTGAACAGGATCATGAACTCTGAACCTACTGAAAAAAAAATCTTAAACTGTGAACACAGAGAAATGATTGTCTTCACCACAATTCTCTTCAATCCTTCCCACATTACAAAAGCAATAAAAAGCTTCATCCATTCATTTCAGTCCAATGGTAAAATCCCTGAAAACATCAGTCATTACATTAGCTACTCCTTGGGACACGGTATTAGACTCTCAATTCTCATAAAGGCACCTATAGGTAAGAAGTATCTATAGAGGAAGGTGGCCAGAGTGAGGGTCACCAGGACACAAAACAAACAAGGATGTTTTCTAAAGAAGTTGTGTGTGGTTTATTGGTGACGCTAGAAAACAGTACAGCTTTTCTGAGTGAATTAAATGGAAACCAATCTTTTCAAAAACACTGGAGGCTATGAGGTTCTGAGTATGACTTAATTCTTTCCACAACAACAATGTAAAACTCATCAAGAAGCAATCAAATCAATGCTAAATAGCAACATACCAAAGTCCTTTTCAACCCTAACAGGACCATGTCCTGGGTAAACACTAATAATGTGGTTCCCTCGACTAAGTAGTTAGAAACAAAGGATTTGAAAACACTAAGAAGAGGCACACTAACAAACCACTAAAGAACTGGTAGCTGTCAAAAAGGAAGATTAGGAAAACTCAAAATGAAAACATCAAAACTACAGCAATCTTGGGCATTTAAGAAAGGCTACATAGTGCTTTCTATCTCAGAGGCCCAGTGTCCACAGAGACAGGAGAAAGAAAAAAAAAAAAAAAAAAAAAAAAAAGAAATAGTATATCCAGTATATTCTGATTTCCTAATAGTTCCCACCAATAAATGGCTAATTTTTAAAAAACGTTTTACTGCTTCATAAGGCAAGATGATGAAAACTTTCATTCTTCAGTAACACCAGATAAACCATCTCGCCGCATGGAAAGTGCTAGGGCGGAGGCTCTGCCAAGGACATGCTATGAATAAGGCCACTGGCTTTTTACACACTTCTTAACATATCACAAGAGAAGAAACTGCTTGTTATTAGAAGGAAAAATGGCAAAGGTTTGAGCAGGAGACTGCCAGCCTTTCTTTATGACCATGCAAAGGAGGATTTCAGGGGCTATGTACAGATCACTATGAACAGATGAGTTCGTCTGTGTGCACATGTGTGCACGTGTGTGTGTGTGTGTGTGCGCGCGCGCGTGTGTGATACCTGCTAGTTTCTACCAGGCCCCACATATGAGAATGTTCCTTGAAAGGATTCATGTAGTAATCTAACCCACATCCTTACTACTTTATCATTAAATAAAATGACAATGATGAAGACAGCAACCTATGGGAAACTACCAAAAAAGAACTCTGGCCAACTCCAAATAAAACTGCTCCTTCTAAGAGGTCTCAATTAATGGGACAACAAATTTTAAAAAAACAAAACAAAACAAAAAAAAAAAACAAACAAAAAACCTGAGTGACAGTTACTAGCAGACCAGGAGCAAATACATTTAACCTCTACAGATACTTCACAAGCATTTCAGAAAGATTCCCTTCTCCATACTGTAAAACCTCTGAGCTTACTTTGCCTTCAAAGCTGCTAATATAAACCCTGCTGTTCCCCACAAAACTGGATTTTTAACTTTGAAATACAGCATAGCCAATCATATGTTGCTGGATTTTCCAGGCATGGCCCCTAAGCCAGCTAATCCTATCTGTGAACCTGCACTGTTTACAGGGACAATGGGTTAGGACAATACAAAAAGATGGTGTTTGTGGAAAGCAAGTGCATGGCAGTGGTTTATCATCATCTTTGTATAGCAGGGGCAGTAAAGTAGAACAATTAAGGTAAACTCTATCCCACAAAAGAATCTACTTCCAAGCAAATAAAGGCAATACCATTAAGGATTCCCTTTAATCATGCACAGAAAGGCACAAGACGAAAGTAGAATGGGTTTTAAACTGGGTGGGCCTACCTCATCTGTCACTCAGCTTCTAGTCCAATTCGATCTTAGAAGACTCAAGCTATGAATCAGAGACCACCACCCAGAACCATACCCACATTGCAATCAGACTCTGAGAACTACAGAAACTACTTTATCCTCAAATGGACACAAATTTTTTAAGCTTAGGGAAGTTTTCTAAAGTCTTACTCATCAAAGATGGCAACTTCTAAAGAACAAAAGGAAACACAGTTTATAAAGGCATAGAACAGTCAAATTACAAACATTATCAATAACTACAAGTAAATTGTATGGCTCTTAGTAAGAAAACCAAGACAGGTGGCTTGGCTCTGAACAGATACTTCTTAGCAAATACTTCCCACATACTTAATGAAGATGATTAAACATGGAAATGTTTCCATAAGTAGAAAAGGAAGCATCAAGTTGTACCACTGCATGGACAATGTTCTAGTCAGATAACCTGGATTTCAAAAAGTCTGTTATACTAAAACTCTTCTTCCCTGTCACACCTATTCCCCATCCATAGTAAAAGGGATCTAAAGACAAACATTTCTAGAGAAGGTATCTTTTTATAATTCTGCCAATACAACACCTTAAAAAATTTACCTTAAACTTCTACAGACAGTAAAAGTATCTGTAAGTATTTAAGAACTGGTAAAGAAGCTATTTAAAAAGACAAGGTGTGTAAGTTGGACTGAGATTTCCACTCCTATCATAGCAGCATTCAGTGGCTTCTGGAACCCTCTGAAGCAAGCTGCGGGGACTTGTTGATTACTTCAGCACAAAGACTGCTAGGCAAGGGTTTCCGGAGCCCAAATGCCTACTGCACTGTAAAATTCACAGAACTCTCAGAGCAAAGAATAAAAGCATCTCAATGATCTTGATTTTATTCACACTATTCATCCCAGGTCTATTTTTTGCTACAGTAAAACAAAAGTTCAAAAAATATCCAACTCTACACATGATACATAATGTACATGGGAAAGTCCTGGTAGAGTGTGAGGGGAAAACCAGAGCTGTACAATCCAACTGGCTGTTGCCTGTCATTTAGTAGAAGGTGTCTTGCCACTGAGATTGGACTCAAAAGTGCAAAAGGAAAGCATTTTAAAAACAAACCTAGAATTCAACTTTGCATATTGAGACTCAGTTTTATTTACGCTACTAACTAGGTAAAAAGTATACATGTTGTGTCTGTGGTACAGTCAACGCATCTGCAACTTTTCTACTTAAGTCTCTATACAAAGTCACTGCCGACTGATCGATGATGTCAAACAAAGGGCTTAGAATAACCAAAAGGTATAAAAAAGTTTGCAGTCTTGCCCCAAGATACAAAAACTGAATTTTAAACAATGTCAAAACATACATGATTTAAACAGTATATGAAAAAAAGTCACACATCAAATCAAGTACAAAAATATCCAAACTACCTATTACGAACTGCAATGTTTCCATTATTCTGCACAGTATTTAACATAGAATTCAGCAGTTTCCAAAATATTCATTATTTTAGTTGAAGCACTGCCATCTTGCAGAACAGTGAGGCGTTAGGCAGAGCAACACTGCTTTAGTGTTTTTATAAATACAAAACCTTCTCCCTGTGAATTAAGGGAAAGAAATCCGCCCCCCTAGGCTTTTTTTTTTTATATTAATAGCCAACCATATGCCTAGAAATATAAAAGAATTCATCTACTGTTTAACAGGGCAAAAGTACACATCTTGATAATGGTCATCCATTAGGGCTAAAAAATGTAATTTTAAATGGCATTTCTTTGACTGATAATTGTAAGGAATTGTCACTAATGCACACAGATTAGTGTTTTGTCTTGGGGAAAAAAACCCTGAAGTCTGCAAGGCAGTATGAATTTAATTCACCTTCACTGTTTAACTTGCAAAAAACCATTCTGGATAAAAGGTTGATAAAAGACTTTTAAAACATAGTGAAGTTGCTTTCAGTAAAACTGACTCACCCATGTGGCACTTGAACACAGTGTGTTCAACAATAACTTGCTCACTAAGTAACAGGTGAGCTAACTTTGAGAACTTCTCAGCCTTAAAATCAGCAACACTGAGTGTGCTCTGCAAAGGAACACAACAGCATCTGTGTGTAAGTAGCTCACACACACCTAAGGGGCTGAGTTCCCAGCACTGGATGACTCCTTCATACATAACAACCCGTGAAGATTTAGTAAGAAATGGTTCTTCCTGATCTTCCAAGCTCTGAGCCATGCCTGAAAAGTTCTAAAATAGAAAAAAAAAGTTTCAATTCAGTTTCTGTCTGCTAAGAGCAAGGCAGCAAACACATCTTTCAACCCTTTATGAAAAGACAGAGCAGAACAAATATGCAATAGATCTTCAGATTATAAACAGGATTATATTTCATAGTCCACCATCCTGAAAATGGCTAGGGCATCCATGGTGAGAGCTCTCAGTCTAAAGGTTGTGGGTCTGCAATGGGCATGGTGTGAAGCACTTCATCAAGGAGCTGGAGAGCACGGTGGAGGTGGATCTCGATCCAGCATGGTGTTTCCTTGATGCTCTGTCTTGGGTAATCCGGGCCCCAGCCTTTCACAAAGCTCATCCTGAGTATGCACAAGCGACGGAGGTCATCTACACCAATGCCGGCAGCAGCAGACAGACCTGACAGAAAAAGTGTGGGAAGTGTCAGGGAGCAGGACTATCTCTTCCCACCCTCCCTACACTCTGCCTTCCTTATGTGTTTTCCTCAGCATACGACTTCTCTGTCAGTGTCAAAAGTAACTGCAGGCCTAAACCTTATCAACAGGACTGAAAATTTGGTTAAGACAGTTCATATTCCACATATGTATTTTAACTACCAGAGACCAAATAAATTCCCACAATCTACCAATATTTCACCCGTTTTCCTCTTTAGAAGTAGAGATATAGGAGGAATAATCAACTTCTGTAATAGTCAGGGCATATCATGGTTCTAAGAACCACAGTGTCTAAACTGCCACACCAGAATAAGCCATGACTGATAATCAGACAGTCATCTACTTGGGCCCATTGAAACTTCTCAGTTGATTTGTGTCTGTCTCTTAGCTTTGAGATCATGGGGGTGGGGGATGTGAAGTGGGGGAGAGATATATAGATAGAAATAAGAAATGCAATGCTAATCTGACTTCCTAAGAAAACAGAACATGTTTGTCTATAACACTAAAACTATCAAATGGTTTAGATCCCCATCTTTTTTAAATGAATTAGTGGTTATGTCTTATATACACCTAAATGGTAAACTCCTGAAGATATGTCACAACAGACTCTGTATCTATTTTTTCAATCAGAACATACAGTCATATTTATCAGCATTACCATGAAACTAACGGGAGAAATTTGCAATGTGCTGTGGTGAAACCTGCAGGGCCAGTGCAGTTTCCTTAGCCAGTGTGATTTGCTTACCACACTGAAGAAGTTAAGAACAGGGGTTGAATGAATCACTAGTTATGCCTTCAGACGTGGAAGATGGGTGCCACGTGTTTCCATCATAAAAGTCTATAGTCGGGAGTTTAACTCTGCAGTAAAAAATTCCCATCAGTGTGAAGCCTGGCACAGTTCGATCTTACCCTAAAATTAAAAACTCTACCAGTTATAAATGCCACCCTCACTTAGTTCTCTGTGTTCAGCATACTGTTTCTAAATGGAGGTGTCTAATTCTGAAGCTGTGATAGCTGTTCCAATCAGCACAAAGCCTAACACTCAAGGATTTAAACCCCTGGCTGGTGAGGCAGCAACTATAAGCACTGACCAAGGAGAGGAGACTAAAGTATGACAACCCCCTTTATCAGCTAATGCAAACAGGATCCTATCCCAGGCAAAGAAAAATTACTACAGAAGAAAGGTTTTTACAAAATCAAATGTTATAACCCAGTAAAAAAAATTTTAATTTCTGTTATTCTTTAAAACAATTGATCAACTGAGTGAATCAAGATTAAAAGCCACTACTATTACACTTTGAACAGAAAAATAGAAAATAAACATACTGATTGCTGGAGCTATTCCACCTACGGATCCAGGACCAGGGATATTTCCTGCCACAGCTGCCGCCTGGGCAGCAGCTGCAGCTTGTGCAGTGGCTGCCTGCTGCTGCATCTGCCGGTGACACTGCCGCAAATCAAAGACCTTTTAAAAGAAAAAGTGTAAGTTTAATATATGAGTCCAGCACCAAAGATGACACTGGTCAAAGCCAACATGTAATATACCAACAACTCAGAATTCCATTTGCCTCTCACAAGAAATGCACTAATTGTGACCTTTGTAAATTTCAGGGCTTTTCCAAAGTATCCAGGTTTGATCTCAAAACTGATGCCCTCTTCTAGCCTGTCAACAAAGTCTCCAGACACTCATTTGGTACATAGACATGAAGACAAAGCACACAGACACATAATTTTTCAGAAGTTTTAAAAATCTTTATGCACACTGCACAGCTTAGAGACCATCAAGAGGCACAGCTCACTGCCTAGAAGGACCTATGTAGGCCAGCTGTTCCTACTTTGTGAAGAGACACTTCTCTGTCTCTAATGAACACGAAAGATATTGCCCATTCTTTCAGAGCCAAACTATTAAGTATTCTTTAGGGTAGAGGGAATAGCTTTGTATATCTGGCCAACATCTTTGACAATGCTTGCAATTTGGAAAAGAATAACAAACTGCATTGTCACTATATAGGAAAACATTCATATTTTAGTAATTACATTAGAAAGATTTTGTTTGTGTGTGTATGTTTCTGTGTGTGTCTGATCCCTGTTGCTAGAGTTACATGGGATGTGAGACACCTCATGTGGATGCTCAGAACTCAACTTGGCCCCATGGAAGCAACAAGCACTGAACCATGGAGCCATCTCTCCAGGCCCCAGACCCACATCTTTATGGGAAGCATACTTTAGCACCTATGGCACAGTATCAAAACTAAGGCTCCCTTTCAAAAGTTCCAGAGAAGAAAAAATTTTTTTAAAGGGTAAACCAAACAATTCCGAAAACATGGCTACTTTAAGTGACGGTTATATGGAATTTCATGAAAATTGTTTCTATTTTCAAGTTTTAAAATGTTTATAATTTACCACCAACAAATACATGTGCTGTTCTTAATGTCCTCAGAGCCTATCCATGAAATAGGAATATTAAATACACATATTTTCATAGGGGAACTATACAGCTTGCTTTTAATAGATGTTATTGCTTTGCTTTAGGCCTTCCTAATAGTCATTTTTTTTTTCACAATGAATTAAGGACAACTTAGTAAGTCATTTCTCCTCAAGAAGAGAAAGACTAACATAATAAATAAAGGCTCAGGGCACTTTACCTCCTTTTTTTGTGTAAGTACTGGGATGCTATTTCAATAATCAACAACTTACAGGTAACAAATCACCTCTTTACCAGAGAAAAAGCATTTCCATTTTAAATTTTACTTCCCAAAATAATACTCTTGCTGTGGAAAAGTCCAGAGAAAGAGTGCCAGGCTGTGAGAGAGAGGGGACCAGGAAAGGTAGGAGTAAGGCTGTGCACTGGATGGCTTTAGCTTCTGAACTGTGTAATTTGGCTCCTATTTAAAACATAACTAATTCTTTAAATGTGGAATGCAGATAACCCAAGTATGTACTACTCTATCACTGAAAACAAGAGCAATCAAAATGTACATAACTTTCTACTCAGTGATAATAGGTTTGGGACCAACTCCATAAATTTTCTGATGTTTAAACTGTCTTAACCATGGCATTTAAATGCAAATTATAAAGACACACAATAATACAATCTCTCCAAAGAACAAACTGTCCCTTAACATGGTGCCACTTTCTAAAAAACAAGAAGCAAAACCTTTCTTAATTGACACATCTGAAAACAGACCCAAAAGCACCCTTCCAGAAGACCTTGACAAAGCCAACTACTAGGATCAGAAATCTGGCAATGCCCAGAATAGAAATGCTACTTTCTGGAGTTCCCAAAAGTTTCTTGGACTCTCAACTTTTCCACTGGGTTTTTACAAGACGTTAGACGTTAGGAAGCAAGTTCAAACCTTTTCCTATCTGAATAGCTCTACACAAAACGGATTTTGAAGAAAGGAACTGATACACTTCTTACAGCAGTTTTAGGTTCACAGCAAAACTGAACAAAAAGTTCAGAATTCCCATCTTCACACACATCATTTTCATTTGTTGTGATCCATCGATCTACCCTAAGGTAAGCAATATGAACAAGTCAACACTTAACCTTTAGGGCTCTTGATAATGTACATTCTATAGGTTTGTTCACATTCATCACATCACATTGCTACCATTGTCACACATCACAGAGTATGTGTATGCATGTATGTGTGTAGGTAGGTAAGTGTGTAACACTGGGTGATTTCCTCAGATTCTCAATTTTTTTTTTTTTTTTTTAAAGTTTACGGAGACAGGGTTTCTGTGTGTAGCAGCCCTAGCTGGCTGTCCTGGAATTCACCTTGTAGACCAGGCTGGACTTGAACTCAAGGAGATCCGCCTGCCTCCACCTTTCTAGTGCTGAGTGGGACTAAAGGCGTGCACCACCATGCTAAGCTCTCTAGCTTATTTTTTGAAACAGTGTCTCTCACTGAGCCAAGTTATCTCTACTTCCTACCCTATAAACTAGTCTTAATAAAGTCCAAATTACCAACTGTTTTTACAAATCAAGTCTTTGATGGTTATCTAGGTTTAAGCCTCACATCTTATATATTTTTCATAGTTTTGTGTGATTTACATTACCCACATACAGTCACTTTTTAAAATGCCATCACTAATCAAGGATAATATACATAATTTGGGGAGGGGATGTAGCTGGGAAGGATAGGTCTCACTATGTAGTCCTGGCTAGCCTGGAACTCACTATGTAGACCACATTGGCCTGGAATTCAGAGATCTTCCTGCCTCAGCCTTCTAAGTGCTTGACTAAAGGTGTACATCACCATGCCTAGCCCATGTATAAATATTATTATCTAAACATAAGTTTAAAAAAGGCTCAGCACCCTTCCCTGCCAACCATGAGTCATTAAAATCAAATAATCTTCACATATGGGCATAGTTCAATTATGTTGTAAAATATCACATATATAACTGAATGCATAGTATACCAGTGGAATGAGTATTTCAAGAAACCACAAAAATGAAAACTAATGACATGAATCTGAAGATAAATAAATATGCTGCACCAGATACCTCAGCAAACGTGTTCCCATACATCATTCATGTACTATACTATTAAGACTGAAAAACAAAATTTTCAGTCAAGCTATAAAACATTTATAAGACCTGCATTGTTTACTGGCTTCACACAGTAAAACGTGTTCCCATAGATCATTCATGTACTATACTATTAAGACTGAAAAACAAAATTTTCAGTCAAGCTATGAAACATTTGTAAGACCTGCATTGTTTACTGGCTTCACACAGTAAATGGCTGTCTATATACACAGCAGATCTCTCTTAGTAGTGAATGGTAAAGTAAGTGCAACCATTGAAATGGAACCATCCTCCATTCACAATCACCTAAGTTGTTGGTTGTTGTAAATAATCTTTATAGCATAGATCCAAAACAGTATTTTTGACCCATCATAACTCCTAAGCTAATGAGCAACTTAATTATACTTTCATTTATTTATGATGTCTTCCGTAGTTACTCTCATGCAAGTTTATTACAAAGTCATTGCATAACATATGTGAGTATAACATCTTCAGTGTATTATCTTTCAATAAAGAGCCAAAATCTGAATTTTTTTCATTAAGGCTCAATTATATTCTGCATCAGCTTGAATTAACATCAGCCTGAAAGGAGAAACACACAATGGTGTAGTATGTACAACACCTGAGTATTAAGATTTCATAAAGGACTTACTAAGTTATCTGACCTAAAGATAGAAATCACAATATGGCGCTGGAATGGTGCGGTCCTTTAAGAACACTTGTTAGTCTTTCAGAGGACCAAGGTGTACCCACATGGTAGCTTTAAACCACCTGTAATCCCATTTCCAGGTAGACTCGACACCTTCCTTTGACCTCTGCAAATACTAGGAACATGTGCACACATACATACGCTGGCAAAACTAAAGAAATGTTAACAAAAAATATGCAGATGTTGGGAATAAATTAAACTTAATAGGTTTATAATGCTTTTCAACCTAGCTCCACATAAACAGCTTTTAGTTTTAAAAGCATCTACTGTTTCTTTGCCCCAATATGTACATATTTAAAAACAAACCTGATTCAGTATCAGAAATGCTAATAAAACTGCAATGGGATTCCATTTCATACCCACTAGTGCTAATGAAAAGCAGATAAACTGGAAACTTCACACACTTTAGGGGAATATGTGTTTTTTGTAAAAATGTTTTAGCAGATTGTCCTAGTTAGGGTGATAAAAGACCATGACCAAAGCAACTTGGGAAGTTGTTCCATGTAACAGTTCATTTTCAAAAACGAGGGCACAACTCAAGCAGGGCAGGAACCGGGAGGCAGAGGCTATGGAGGAGTGCTGCTTACTGGCTTGCTCCTCCTGGCTTGCTTAGCCTGCTTTCTTAGAGAACCCAGGACCACCAGCTCAGGAATGGCACCACCCACAATGGGCTGCTCCCCTCCTCCCTATCAATCACTAATTAAGAAAATACCCTACAGGCTTGAATGCAGCCAGATCTAAGGGAGGCATTTTCTCAGACACACCAGGCACACATGCAGCATACAGGCATTCAAACACACATAAAATGAAATATAAAAAAATAAACCCCGCCCCCACACCCCCCCTCAAGTGACAGAACAAGGCCACATAAAAAAAAAAAAAAAAAAAAAAAAAAAACTTGTTTCATTTACATTTTAAAAGCCAGTAAAAGCCAGGTAGGTGTATTAGGGCATACCTGTATCCCAGTGTTCGTGATTTAGAAGAAAAAAGATCAGGAATTCATGGCCATCTATTGCTACATAGCAAATTCAAGGCCAACATAGGATATATGAAAGTCTATCTCAAAAACCAAAAACACTAATGAATTTGTTTACCTTGTTTGAATTTAACAGGGAAGTGTCTCTCTGTGTGTACATTTCTCAGTGTGTAGCCACTTCCAGGGTTTCACAATATTTGTATACAATTCACTCTAGAAGCATCATCCCTGGTGAGAATCTACCTGGACAACAGTAACTTGAATATATCCCTTTTTCACTGCTGCCAAACCAATTAGCAAATAAGAAAGTATCAGTAGTTCAATTTAAGGTTCACTTACACCTGTCTAATAAATTATTCTCAAGAACATAAAATAGTTGTTAAAAAGAAAGAATTCTTTCCAGACATGGTAACTCTCACCTCTAAGCCTAGCACTCAGGAGGCAGAGGTAGGTGGATCTCTGTAGTTTGAGGCCAAACTATTCTACATAGTGAGTTCCAGGATAGTCAGAGCTACATAGTGAGACCCTGTGTAAACAAATAAATGACTTTTGAAATCTTGAACAGCTAATAGGACAAAGTAGAATGTTGCCGTAATGCCAAATTTTCTGTCCCACAAGTTACTATCTATACTTCATTGCAAAAATATTTAGATTAGAATAAAAATCTGTTCATTATGATGGAATACTAAAACGATTTACCAAAACTTAACCACAACTGTTCAATAAATGATCCAGGCTAGCCAAAAGAATCAAACTATCAACTAATAAGAAAGAAAGCCAAAAGAATCAAACTATCAACTAATAAGAAAGAAAGAAAGAAAGAAAGAAAGAAAGAAAGAAAGGAAGGAAGGAAGGAAGGAAGGAAGGAAGGAAGGAAGGAAGAAAACCTCACAGCAGACAGCTAAGACTGAAGGCAGAAGCTACCACTGCCAAGACTGTATGTAAGAGAGTAAAAAAGACAGGATCCAATTGTTCACAGTATGAAAAGGGACAATGGGCAAACTCTCAGGGCAACAACTAGGTATCTGAAAATGAATCAAGTACTAACGAAATAGTTTGACAGTCAGTTCAGATAGGAAGCAAATAGTACCCACAGCAGAGGTATCAAAGAAATGAGGCCAAGAGAATTTAATCCTGTGCATACTCAGATACAGGAACTAGATTTCCCCCCAAAAGACAAAGTTTCCCTACCTCCTAATTATAAGATGTGGTTCTAAAACGTGGATTCTAGTGGCAAACAAAATTGCCCTATAGGGAAAAGTAATGATAGGAAATGTATCTGATTGAATGTAACTGACCTCAAGCTCATAGGGAGCAGCACTATTAGGAGGTGTGGCTTTGTTGGAGGAAGTGTGTCACTGTGAGGGTGGGCTTTAAGGTCTCCTATGCTCAAGTGACAGTATAGACAGACTCCTTATTGTTGCCTGAGGATATAGATATAGAACTCTCAGCTCCTTTGCCAGCACCATGCCTAACTGCATGCCACCCACCAAGATGATAAGGAACCTCTGAACTAAAAAACAAACAAACAAACAAAACAAAAACAAAAACCAAAAAACCAAAGAAAACATTTAATTGGACTGGCTTACAAGAGTTGCTATGGTCATGGTGTCTCTTCACAGAAATAGCAACCCAAACTAATACAGAAAAAATTTGCCTATGAAACAAAATGAAGTAAAAATCATATAAATCCAATGCCACTAACAGATCAGACAGATTCTAGCATCCCATTAAACTGGATGTAGTGACTCAGGCCAGAGCAAGGCAGAGGGAAGAAGATCAGCAGCTCAAGACCAACCTTGGCTACTTAACAAGTGTAATGCCAGCCTGGGCTACATGAAACCCTGCCTCAAAACAAAACAAAGATTAATATAAATGACAAAATATAAAAATTCCTTGTAGAAAAGTTATAAAATATAAACAAATTTCGAATGGAGTATTCTATGAGCAAACTATACAATGATGGAAATGTTGTAAAATCACCCCATGCCAAAACTTTAACAAAGTGTGGGGGAGAAACAAAGACTGGTAAAACCACAGTTGTCAAGGTCCATAAGAACGTGGGAGTTCAACTAACATTTTGAGCAACAGTGGAAAAGCTACCATAAATGCTCTTCCCTGATAATGAAAGATGTAGGGAGCCGTCCCTGCATTCTCCATTACAAGATGGTGCCTGCATCCGGCTGGCGTTGAGAGTAAACAAGTCAGTGCGCAGGTGCAGGGTGATTTTCCCTCCCTTGGCCTCTGCCTCTCCCGTGGCGTTATATGGGCCGATGGGCTGCAGCCAATCAGGAGGTGACATGTCCGAGGCGAAGGTTGTAAACCTATATAAGGGTTGGGTTTTGGATGTTTGGGGTCTCCGCTCTGTAAGCTTATGCTCTCCCTCTCAAGATGCATTAAAGCTTTACTGCAGAAGGATCCTGAGTGTGCGCCATCTGGTAATGGAGAATGCAGGGACGGCTCCCTACAGAAATTGACGACTACTTATCCATCATCATAGAGCCCTCATCTAGTAGCTGATGGAAACAGAAGCAGACACCAACAGCTAAACACTGAGCCCAACTGGAATCCAGATGCAGAGAGGGAGGACAAGACCAGGCTACAGAAACCCACAGAGGCAGCTGACCTGAACAAGGAGGAGCTAATGGGCCCCCAGACTGATAGCTGGGAATCCAGCATGGGACTGACTCAGACCCCCTGAACATGGGTCTCTGTTAGAACGCCTGGGCAGTCTATGGGAACTCTGACAGTGGAACCAGGATGTATCCCTGTTGCACAGAAGGCCTTTGGGAGCATGTTCCCCATAGAGGAATACTCCCTTAACCTAGAGGCAGGAGGGAGGGCCTAGTCCCTACTCCAAATAACTTGACAGATTTAGATGACCCTTCCAGGAAGGCATTACCCTATATGTGAAGTGTGTGTGTGGGGGGGGGGGGGTGGAAGGGCAGGGGGATGAGATAGAAAGGGAACTGGGACTGATATGTAAAATAAGAAAAATAAGTAAATAAAAATCTAAAAGAAAAAAGAATGTGGGAGTTGTCATTTTCTCTATAGCTGGCATGTTTCTAAGCATCACAAAAAGGGCCAGGTGGTGGTTCACATGTATAATCAGAATTTCAAGGCCAAGCAGGGCTACACAGTTAAACACTGTATCCAACCAACCCTGACACCACACCAGGCACTCTTTGACTAAACTGTAACTGAAATGATACAGAGTCCTTTCAGAAGGACTCAACACAGTAATACCATGCATAACAGCTGATAAGGAAGGTGCTCAAAGGCTGAAAAATCTGAAATTGAAAATATACCTAAGCTCACTGGGCCTATTTTTGTCTTCCCCAAAGAATATATGTTAAAAATAAAATTGAGACGTGTTAAATATGTAATAATCAGTAAAAGCTATCTCCAGCTTCTTGGCATCTTAATTTTCAGTTTTATGAGGGGTTGAGGACATAGCTCAGTGGCAGAGCAGATGCCTAGCACTGAAAAAAAATATTCCATCCCTTGGAAAACTATTAACCTTAGAATTCAGAACTGTTTTCCATAAACCTTTAAACACATGCTAAAGTGAAATTCTAGAGTTTGATTTTCACCAATTTAGTGTAAAAGAATATGAGTTGGGAGGTTTCATTCAATATTTTCAAGAATCTGTGTATCACTCTAAATGACTTCACAGACTTGAAAACACTAGGACATAAAAGTAACCACAAAACTAAACAGCTGCTTACAATAATAAACAGATCTCCAGAAAATGTGTCTTATATTCAAAACACATGCATACTCTGTTGTAGTGGTACTTTTGTTTGTTGAAATACGGTATCATTAGGCAGCCAAGACTGATCTAAAATCTACCACGTATACAGCTCAGAATGGCTTTGAACTCACAATTCTCCTACCTCCTCCTACTGAATGTTCCCATCACAAGACTGTCTCACCACCTCTGATCAAAACATACCAACATAAGACAGATTTCCCCTCCTCTCACCTCCATTTTCAGGCTTCAAGCAACAAAGAGATTTTTAAGTGTAAGCATTCAAATATAAATGCAACTGACCTTTATATATGCACTTGGGTAGATCTTATGAACAGCATCGCCAGGTGCTCGCCCAGCTTCTCTGTCCAGGTAGTAACTCTGCACAAAGACTGCATGGTCACTAAGGCACCTGACCCAAACATCACCTTCACCTTTGCATTCCAGCTGCACACCTTTGCCTATGTGCAACCTTATGAAGGAAAGACAATTAATTACATTTCATCTTATTTATAGAAAGTTTTACTCAGGTACATAGCAAGAATAAAAAAAATATAATACCCAAATTTCATTTAACCCTTACAATTCAATGAGGTAAATTCTTTACTTTTAAAAAAGATTTTATTTTTATTTGTGCACATGTATGTGTGCATGTGCACACCTACGTGTTAGGGGAGGTGCCCATGCAGCTCAGAAGTCAGCATCAGATAGACTCCTTGGAGCTAGTTACAGGCAATTGTGGGTGGTGGGAACTGAACTCCAGTCCTCTAAAATAATAACAAATGCTTTAAATGACTGAGTCATCTCTCCAGCCACATATAATTTCCATAGTGTCCAAATCAACAGCCACTAACAACACACAGCTATTTAAAATACAATTAAAATTCAGCTATTCAATACATGAGCCATATTAAGTGTTCAAAAAACACGTGTGGCTAATGGTTACTGCATGGGATAGCACAGACAGAAGTCATAAAAACACAATGTAAATGCCTAAAATTGAAATGGAATGTTTACAATTTATGATGACTTTAATCCTTCATATTTAAGTCTCGTATACATAGAAAAATAATAATCTTGAAGAAAAGATACTGTACTATTCAATCTTTTTACTCTTTAAACATACCTTGCTCTCTCAATAGCCTCTGTCCTGTGAACATTGGAGAGTTGACCCAAGCAAAATCGATCTCCTCCAGAGGGATCCACATATCCATCCACAGTTACAATAGGGCAGCTTGAAGGAACCTTAAATGTCTCTCCTACCTGAACATCCATTTCAAAGTAAGCAATGGAACACCAATACTCAGGAGCTATAGGAAATACATTAAAAAAAAAAAAAAAAAAAAAAACCATCCATGTAATAAAAAATATAGGGAGGGAAGTACTTTCACCCATGAAACAAACCTAGACAAAGTTGAATAGACAAGGAATTAGTGAAGCACATAAAAGGATTGGATTAAAATAATGTAATACACTTAAAAAATAGTGATTCCATATCTTATTTGCAGCCAGTACTTACACCTTGACACTCTAAGGACCAAATGAACTGAGAATTTAAAGAACACAAGAAATCAGACTAGCTGGGCAGTAGTAGTGCACACCTTTAATCCTAACACTTGGGAGGCAGAAGCAGGGGGATCTCTACAAGTTCCAGGCCAGCCTTGTCTACAGAGTGGAAACCCTGCTTCAAAAAACCAACCCCCACAAAAAAAAAAAAAAAAAAAAAAAAAAGAAAGAAATCAGACTTTAAAATAAACTATTCTATCATGATAGTTCATTTGATTGCACATCTGTTCTGTTGTCTGAACTTTCCTTTTTAAAAAGTACACTAACCCTAAGATGTAGTCTATGTCTGATTTTACAGACCCTTAACTAGGACAAAATACCTAAACCAGCTGACATATTCCCACTTACACTTATGCACAGTTGTTTTACAGATTTTTAATTGTCTCTCAAACATCAAAGAGCCAATGTACATACATCCTACATGCACAAGGCATATTTTAGAAGTCATTTTAGTGAACCAGTACAGTCTATTCATTTGAATAACAATAATTTTAGATGGCTAGCAGAGGAGGAATGGGGAGGAGAGACAATACTCAGATTGCAAATACCATGATTTATTTCTGATTTTTGCTTCCATTATTTAAAAAAGTTCATATACATGTAATTTGTTTAACAGATATATACAAACATCTAGGGAATTATTTGCAAAGCAGCAAACAAAACTGTTCATAGTCCCTCACAAAGGTACCTAAGCAGGTACAGAGCAGGCAAATGAGCAAACAAATCAATATGGAACACAGGTCATGAACAACACTACAAAGATAATTAGAACAGATGAGGAAGACAGGGACTGGAGGATGGGGTAGAGGAGGAGGAACGTTATAAAACAGGACACTGGAAGAACACTTCAGCCTAGAAAGCTAAGGAACATTCTGTCTGATAACTCAAGACCTAAATGAAAGCCCTGTATTGGCTCAGAGGAAGAACTTCTGAGAGATTAGGAAGGGTGTTAAGGGTTTTGTCTGCAGATTTATTTCCATCAGGTGTTACAAATTCTGTATAATATGAACCAAAACTTTCAACAATCTGAAATGATACTTAGAATGATACAAACCAGCCTGCATTTCAAGTTCCTCCAGGAAAAAAAAATGAAGTAGTGACACCTAAAACTTAAAATAGAATACTCAGGAATCAAATTCTGAGGAGAAAACTTAACAGGAGTAGTGAACACACACCTTTACTCCCAGCACTCGGGAGGCAAAGGCAGGTGGATTTCTATGTGTTCAAGATCAGCCAGGTCTACAGAGTGAGTTCCAGGACAGCTGGGGCTATGTAGAGAAACTGTCTCCAACCCCCACCTCACCCCCCCAAAATAAAAGAAAAAAAAATTTAAATAAGCTAAAAAAGAAAAACATTTTACTGGACTGTGATATCAACTGACTGTCAACAGGACCTATACTCACCCAACAGACAAAGTTCTGGGAATGTGTGTAACAGCTTGGGTTAACCAAGACAGGAAGGCCCACTCTCAATGTGAATGGTGGCCATTGATCCATACAGACAGCCCCTTTGGGTGAACAAACAGGAAGACAGCAGAGCATAGATCCTGTTTCCTGACTGCAAATGCAATGTGACCCACTCCTAATCCTCCTGCGATAATGGCATCCCGACTATGTAAAACTGTACCCCAGCTGAAATTAAAACTGCCTTTGTTTTGTTTTGTTTTTTGAGACAGGGTTTCTCTGTGTAGCTTTGGAGCCTGTCCTGGAACTAGCTCTGTAGACCAGGCTGGCCTTGAACTCACAGAGATCCTCCTGCCTCTGCCTCCCGAGCACTGGGATTAAAGGTGTGCACCACCAACAACTGGCTTAACCCTGCCTTTTTTATATCACACACTTTCTCACAGTAACAAGTAAAACAGAGACACAGTAGCAAGAAACAGGACGGCGGCCCTGATACACTGGCCCTGATACACTCAACTGTGTGGTTCTTAAGTCTCTGAAACTAAGGGGGGATGGGGGAACTTAGATCTAGAGAAGCCCTAGAATGCTGTTAAGTAGAGCTAAGGGGATTATTCTGGTATGAGTTTGGAAAAGGAGAATGCAGAGAAATTCGGACAGTGGAGGCCAGGTGTTTTATCTGAAACTAGGTAAAGGTCATTCCTATTAGAGCCTGTCTAGACTCTGGCTGGATTCTGCCTGCGTTCTGGAAAATTGAGTGAGACCAAACTTGTAATGGGCTAATGTGCTAGGTGGATGAGATCTCAAAACTGATGATTTTATCCGTGTCATAGTTACTGCTCATGGCTCTCATCTGGGTCTAAAGAAAAAACAAAAACTGGAGCAGGAAAATATGAAAATATGCTGCAGTTGGGCAACAACAACATGAATTTGAACTTGCAGACAAGTGTCAGCAGCAGTAGTCAGTAGTCACCAAAGACATCTGTCACTCACTTCTCTGCAATGGTGAGCTATATTCTCACCTGTGAGCCAAAATAAACCCTTTCTTCCTTAAGTTGCTTTTTTCAGGTACTTTGTCAGAGCAATGGGAGTAGCTAATACATAAAAATACCTAATTGCTTGGCAAAAATCTGTCAAGCAATTGAGCACTTTCCAATGAGGAATTAATACGGCACACAAAGGCATGTGAATGAGGTCAGCCTGGGCTGCATAGTGAGTTCCAGGCCAGCCTAGGCTATACAGGGAGACTGTGTCTTAAAAATACTTTTTAACAGCAATCCAGTCAAATCAGTACAAATGTAATTCTATAAATATATTTGTTTAGGAAATAAAATATGCCTAAATGATTGCTTACAACACCAGTTTTGACATTTGTGAATATTCTTTTGGTTCAAGACAGTTTCTCAGAGATCAGCCTGCTTCTGCCCACTTAATGTTGGAATTAAAGGCGTGGGCCACTACCATCCATCTGTGAAGCTATAGTAAAAATCTTTTTTTTTTTTTAGATTTATTTATTAGTATTTTGTATGTTTGTCTGCATATATGTGTGTTTATCATGTGTGCAGAGCCCACAGAGGCCACAACAGAGCACCAGACCACCTTGCACTGCAGTTATAGATGGGTAAGAGCTGCTACATGGATGCTGATGAGAGCAGCTAGCCACTGCTCCTGACTGCTGGACCATCTCCCCAGCCCCCTGTAAGTAAAAATCCTTAATGAAGGAATCATATCATGTCACAAATAATTAACAGTCAGCAAACAAGCACTTTCACCCACCTTAGTAGCCATCTCACTAGCCTCTTCCTGGCTTTTTAAGAGACAGGTTTGAAGCTATTCTACTTAAGCTTAGTTTCATTCTGCTGCATATTTATGTATTCAATGCAGAAACCTGACAATTCTGTACTTAGTATCTCATTTTAAAACACAATTTTTACTTTCTTTCATACAGTGTGTCCTCTCTATGTCTCTTTACCTCTTTTTTCTTCCCTTCCCCCTTCCTCCCCTTTCTAATAAAACTTCTCACTCAAAAACAAAAAAAAAGAATTAAATATAATTTATGTGTGACTATCAGCTACTTTTAAACAGCTGATTAAGTCATAATGAATACTACACTGAGTTTAGTTGCTCTGTAATATAATCCCCTGGCATACATGTACATAAAAATCTACATATAGGGAATCAATATTGAAATATACTTACCTGGATGATTGGAAATGGGAGGCTGGAATGCAAGTTCATTGTGAACTGGCCCTAAAGAAAATATAATAAAAATCCTGTTTTATTATTAAAAGTTTTCCAATGCCAAAATGTTTAATAAACTTTAAATATAAATATCAAAAGCCTTAAGACTTGTCTATATCAAGTTTAGCCATGTCCAAAAATTTAAAAGCTTATTTCCTGAATTTTTTTTGTGATACTAATAGCTAACTTTGAAGTGTTATTGATGAATACTATTTAACAATTTACAAGGTTATACATGTAATATTTAATGCAGATTATAAATTATTCATGTAACACACCAGTATAATTTACAATGCATTTATAATGATTTAAATTGCTAATCTATTCTAAAAATAAGTGCTTATGCTTATTAAGTTAGGAGTATTTGTATATTGGAGCGATAGCTATCATAATTGAAAGTTTATTATTTGTTAACACATTGGACTAAAACCCTTACTGAATTACTAAACTCACTTCTTACAATGTTGTTTCAAGCAGATAAAATTACAATCCTGAGGCTTAATAAGTTTAAATAAGTGACCAGCAATCATAGCACAAACCCAAAACCCTACACACTGGTCCAGGCAGTCATTCTCTGAACATTTGGAAAGATAGTAATGTAACTGATACGTAACAATACGTAACAACATATCTCACACACACAAACACGCATACCCATTTATATGAATGGAAGGAAATAATAAAAGTGAATATGCCCAGGTTATAAGATTTTAAGGAGCTTATCATTTATGCCTTTTTTACATTTCCAATATTTTTGGTACTATTAATCTTAAAATGAAAGGAAAAGGGATTTTATATTTACGTGTGTGTGTGTGTGTGTGTGTGTGTGTGTGTATTCTTTTTTTTTTTTTTTTTCATCAACAATGTTCCTATTCTGTCTGAAACTGGACTGTCTGTAGAGTATCCTTCCCAATCACACCTACATGGAGAATTAATAGGTTCAGCCCCTAAGTATCTATAGTATCTACTGCATTGATTCTATGGTGATGGAAACCTTGAGATCACAGTACTCAAGGGCTTCAGTAGACTGTGGGTGGATAACACACAAGACCTAAAACCACACAGAAAACAAACAAATGGATGGAAATCAATGTGGTGTTTATGAACCATCGGCAACAGAGAAATGAATGTGCTTAGTGAACTTTAGTGCAAAAGAAACTATTTACAAAAAAAAAACAAAACTGAAAAAGTAAACAGCACTCATTATTTAATGAAAATAAATTGTAAGATGAGTAAAAGATGCAAAACCATTTTTTAAGAAAACAGAAATCAAAGTTCTAGCTAGAAAAGAAAAAGGCCCTGCTTACAATGAAAACGAGAGCTTACAGTAATGTCCAGGATGGGGCGGCATAGGCGGGTGGTGCTGAAGATGGCCGTTTTGGTGGTGAGGCAAATTAGGTGTGTATGGTGCAGTCCTACTTCCAGTCCAGGTGGTAGTGCTGTCTAAAAATTAAGGCCCATATGCATTAATTTGCTTTTATAAAGGCTGCCTGTTTTTTTCTCAACTACTCAAAGGATTTTAAAAAGCATGTACATACTATGATGGTAAGTAGCTGGCTGACCAGTAAATCCGTTCTGCTGCTGTCCTGGCTGAGGCCCTGAAGCTATCTGCAACAGTCCTTCACTATGGCTGCCTGCCAGAATACTGGCCGGCTGACCTAGAGAAATAAGAAGACATTAACATGGCACATGCAAGTTTATGCTCTTATACAAAAATGAAGGTCTAATTATGTCTAGTAATCCACAATTATAAAGGTGGGCCAAAAGTGGAGCTCACCCATTGCCTATCAAATAAAAAAGCTAAAAGCGTTTAAGAAACCTTCAGAATTGCTCAAGTTACCCTTTTCTTAAGAAATGTTTTCCTGGGGCTGGAGAGGTGGCTCAGCAGTTAAGAGCACTTCCAGAATGATTCCCATCACTCACATGGTGGCTCACAACCATCTATAACTTCAGTTTTGGGGAATATAATGCCCTCACACAGACATACATACATATAGGTAAAACACCAATGCACATGAAATGAAATTTTTTAAAAAGGAATGTTTTCCTAATGTTAATGGCCTCTTTCTTCACAGATCCTCTTCAAATGCTAAGGAACACACTACCTGTCTAGGCTATCACAACAGCTTTAGAAGCATTGGTTCAATCCCCAGGTATTTTACCTGAGACCACTCTGGACTTTCCTGATTTGTATCCCCAAAACCCAGAAAAGAAAATGTTGACAACAGAAAGTTAATTAACATGGCACTGGTGCTGGTAATGGCAGGACAATGGCGTATAACAACAACAACAAAACACAGGAGGTTAAGTATTTTAAATGGGATAGGATGGCAAGGGTAACAAGTGAACATAAAACAACTAGCTCCACTGCTGAACTTGGTAAAAAAACAAAAAGCTCTATTTTGAATCTCTTCAAGTCCTTTTAAAAACATCAGAACCATGTCAAGAATGTCACTGTATGCCCAGATTTGTATTAAATCAGCTGCTCCTTCTGTAATGCACCAACAAAATGGTTTCATTTGGCTCCTATTCTGTTCAAAATATATTCCATTATGTTTTATTATCTGCCATTTATCGGGTTTATTTTATAAGTGGAAAAAGGCTATTTCTTAAAGCAAGCATTAGGTCATGTTTATCCCATTTGGAAAACACTGGAATGTTTTTACTATTATTTGTCAATGACACTTTTCTCTTAAATAGAGTGCAATCAGATGAAGATACTTAAAGTCACTACAATCTAAGCATCAAGAGGAACTTGCCAGGCACAGTGGGTATGGCCTCAATCACAGCAGGAAGAAAGCTAAGCAAGAAGAACTCAAGGCCAGCTCAGCTGGGTTATAATGTAATATTTTTGCCTCAAAGTAAACAAACAAGAAAATAAAAATTTCTCCTCCCTACACAGCATAAATCCTTAAAACAAGGCCCTGCAAAACCACAGCACTCATTTATACTAAGAACTACCACAGACTCAGGAAAAGCAGATTTAAACAATGTAAAATCAGCTCATGTAAAATAACCTTCCCATTCCTCTATTTTAATCTAGTTTCTTTTCTTTCCTTTAACTCTTATCCACATATATTTTTAGAAACAAAGAAAAATTTCACTGCATGTTCTAAAATCTACAATATCTACTTTAAAAAGTATTAAGACAGAATTGGATATATTTCATTCACATCTTTTTCTGGCCTTCCAGCATACTCCCTGCAGGGCGGGGAGGAAAAAGTCAAAACAAAGTCACTTTGGAAATAACTTAACAAAGCTCAATATTCACAGAATACAAACACAAGTGCTTGCCTGGGCTCAGCAGCCATTTACACTTTTATTTCCCATCTCCACCACTTCTGTCAGCTGTACTCCAAGTGAGCAAATAGATGCACAATAGGTGTCATGCTGCATACATGTAATCCCAGCATTTCAGAGGCTGATACAGGAACACCAGGAGTCCAAAGCCCTCCTGGCTTATGGAGTGAAATCTTGCCTCAACCTCCTTTGCCCCTTCAAACCTACATACATACACATACATGTCATATGTGCCCACAATTTATCTGTGCTAAGATTGTGACCACTACAGTGGTGGAATGGACTAATGGAAAATTCTGGAAACAATTCAGGGGTCAGGCACATAGTTCAATAGTAAAGTGCTTGCCTATCATGGCTTGGATACCCAGCATTAGGGAAAGGGGTCAGGGGGTGAGAGCAAAACAATTTCAGAAATAAATCTTCTATTTACCTCAAAGATTAAAATTTCAATGTTGAGTCTAAATTGATACTAACATAGATACTACATTGTAGGTAGTAACAAATATCAATTTGTATCAGTCAACAATCTCTTGACAATACAGATTTTAAAATAATGCTCTTAGTAATTAAATGAATCAATACTATTTGTATGCTCTACAATGTTTAAATTTATAAACAGTAATAATAATTGGGGGCTAGGAAGATGTCTCAGTGGATAAGGCACTTGCCCTGCAAGCATGCAACCCTCAGCTCTAATTCCCAGAATCCACATAAAGCTGGACAGACACAATAGTGTGAATCTGTAATTCCTCCTATGAAATGGGAGGAAGAGACTAGAACCCCCAGCCTATCAGACAAGCTAGCCTGGCATATGTAACTGAAAACAATATGAAACTCTGACTCAAACAAGCTAGACAGAAAGGACCAAAGAGTCTGTCCTCTGACTTCTACATGAATACTACAACATACACATCACACATACATCATACACGTTAATTTTTTTAATTTTTAAAATAAGCAAGCAAATTACTTGTGAACAGGTGGCTGTTCAATCTTTGGTATTGTAAAATTAAATAAATAAATAACAACATAAATTGTCTTTATTAGGCTCTGAGAAAAACAGATCCTGGGCTGGGGGTGTAGTTCAGTGGTCAAGGATTTTTCTGGCATGGGAGAGGTTCTAGTTTCAACTGGTATGACCAAGAATTAAAGACAGGAAAAGAAGGAACACAGACTGAGAACCTCCTATGACATAGTGGAAAAGGTAAATCTTTACCACAAGAATCCTTTTCAAGGATGTGGATGTTAGCTTTATACTGAAACTGGTTAAAATACTTAATGTCTACCTGGGGGCAATAAATATTAAAAGCAAGTTTGTTTAAAAGCCCCTTTTCCAAGTAGTCGTAATAGGAAATTGAGAAGATTATTATAAAGTTACCCTCTCAGATAAAATAATGGTCTAAAAGAAAGGTTTCAACTGCATCAACACAGATTTTTTTATAAACATCTTGGTTCAAAGCTGTTTGTTGGACCAGTGAGATGGCACAATAGGAAAAGGTTCTTGCTACACAAGGTCAGTGACCTGAGTTTGGTACTCAGAACCCATGTAAAGATGGAAGGAGAGAATTGACTCCACAAAGTTGTCCACTATTCTCCACAAACATACAGTGGCCCGCATGCACACACACACACATATGCACGCTCACGCACACACAATTACACACTCACACATACAATAATAAAAAAATTACCTCGACAAGTACTTAAATATTTCTCTAAAATCTATCTAAAGAATATAGGAAACTTCTTACTTATGCATGTAATAGCAAATAACATCTCAAATTACGATTATAACCAAAGTCCTTACATTTGACTGCACATCAACATTAGAAACTTTAAATAAACTGCAAACACCATTTTCTCCAGAATGAATTCACATACCAATTTAACATGTTTACCTACATTTACAGCCTGAGTGATGGCTCAGGAGTGAGAATCCACCTAGTATGCATTTGGCCCCAATACCATACCCAGCACCAGAAAAGACCACAACAGCTTAAATATTTACTTACTTGGGTTTCTCCAAGTGATTACACATAAATATTCAATGTTTAGGAAAACTTCCGACTACATCAGACTGCATAACTCACTTGTGGAAGCCACAGGAATGTTGGGGAAGTTGGTGGTACTGGTAGCATTAGACTCAGACGGGGCTAACAGAGCTGGGGCGCTGTATGTCTCCGTTGATGCACGATTACTTGGTGGATGTTGGATGGTCTGAATTGAATGTCCTTCAGTGGGTAAGGATGGCTGTCCCTCAAAGTCATGAACGTATTCATCCTTCACTAACATACTTGGTGGAGCTATACATTTAAAAAAAAAAAACATTTTTTTATATTCTTCTACAAACACATATACAAATAATATAACAGCATCTAAGATCAACTAAGGTATAAATAATTCAAATTCAGAAATTTTTCTTATTACAGATAAGCATACATTTTATCAGCTATAGCTAATTTAGAGATTTCTATCAATTTGACTCACTGAAATTTGAAGAGATATTCTTCAATTTCATGACAAGCATAGAAGTACATCTAAATAGGTAAAAACAAAATGCCTGGCAAAATGTTCACTCAACTGTGAAAACCAAGTACTCCTCACGGCACACTGAGACTGAATACTGAGCTCTACCTTTCTGAACTCCACAATGTAGACATGGGTGGGACCTGAAAGGCACTCAATGCCAAGACCCAGTATTATTTAACATATTATTTGAAATTGCTATCCTGAAATGTCCCTTTAAAAGATCAAACTGAAGCCAAATGTAGGGTTTTTGCCTGTAATTCAGCATTCAGGAAGCAGGCCATGAACATCCCAAGTCATCAAAAAAATTTTTCTATTTGGAATTTCAACCTATGTAGAAATGTTTGATAAGAATACTCAATAATTAAATTTTTTTCAGTTTAAGGAGCAATTCTAGTGTCTAGGCCATGTAAATGGTACCTTTAATAAAACAGGGGTCGATTTGCTTTGCTCTATTTTTTTTTTAAAGTGAAACTGAACTGTATTCCTATCAGTTCTGAACAGAGAACCTTCTCGAATAGTCTTAACCCACCATTTTGGGTTCTTCTGTCTATTTTTAGTAAAACCATCATTTACTCTTTCTGAACTAATGCTTATAACTACTCTAAAGCTTTACAATCAATTGAATTCTAGTATTAGGTATCTTCTTAGAGATGTCAAGTTAAGGCCACAAAGACATTCTCTTCAAGTGAAAAACTAGTGTCATTTTCCTTATCCAGTTTTTCAGTGAAGCGTGACTTCTAACAATAGAAATATTCCATATTTGCTCAGGCTTTTGTATACAACATTTTTTGACTTCTGAAACATGAAAATATTTGTAAAACTCCTATGTGGAGTGGAGAGATGGTTCAGCAGTTAAGAGAACTGCTTGCTTATACCTAGTTTGGTTCCCAGCATCCCATGTCAAATGGCTCAAAACCTTCTATCACTCTAGGTCCAGGGGACCCAATACACCTTTGGTCTCCATGGCACCAGCACATGTGCACACACCACACAGGGACACAAAAACATATACACAATCACAATAAATAAATAAAGTAACTTCTACATGAACCAATACAATAAAAAAAGATGCTTAACACATTATCATGTATCAGTATGATTGCAAGATATAACTGGTATAATAGTGGCACAAATGTTTTGGGAGTAACCAGTCATTTTTTAAATTGGATTTAAGGCCCGGGTATGAGATGAGTCCCATACCTGACATTGTTAAGCTAGCCAAAAACCTGAGACCAGATAGCTCATAGGCCCTAGAGAAAAACTTGACTATTATTCTACTAAAATAACAAAATTATTCCTAATGGCAAACTGCTATATTCATAGACCAGTGCATCATTCAGTCCTTATCAGAAGGGAATTAACAGACTCACAAATGGATAATGTGCAGAATGTGACTCTGGGGCACACAAAATGAGCATCCTAAATAAGATGTCTTCATCAAAACCCTCCCCTAAAGGCTCGAGGAACCCAAGTGAAGGCTGAAAGACTTTAAGAGCAAGAGATGGTAGATGGCCCCAAGAAAACAAGTGTCTTCCAGAAACAACAGGATAATGTACATATAAATTCAGAGACTGGGGCTGGAGAGATGGCTCAGCCATTAAAGGCTAGGCTCACAACCAAAAACATAAATTCAGAGACTGGCAACAAACATCAGACCTAAACAAGTTCAGACCAAACAAAAATCCTAGCACTGAGAGGAGGAAGCAGATAGGATTCTCCAATGGAGTATCACTGAGTATATCAACAACACTCCTTTCATTTTAATGGAATCTCTATCTAATGAACAATTAGGGTTTATTGTTGAAGTGACTGATATCTTTTTACCTACTGGCATTATCAATACAAAAGGAAACAACTGTGAAATTGACAGCTGCCTGGGTGATTGTGACACCCAGAAGAACCAACTGCTCTCTACTTTAAATAGCTAGGCCTAAATTTTCTTCCCTTCATATGTCAATTAAACTTTGCTAAACAGAAGTTTGGAACTTGGATTTTTCAGCTTTCCAAATCCTCACCTGTTTCCCGGTTTTTCCTGTCTGCTGCATATGTGTCTGCTTGCCCCCAATAAACACCTTTCTACAACCTGCTGGTTCTGTCTGCTGATGTCTGCACTGCCATCTGATGCACTTGACTTTTTCCTGTCTTTGAATTCTTTAACTGGCAGGGAAAAAGAACGTAATCAAGACACCCAGACTGTCCTTTTGGGACCTCACCTTGGGATTTCTTCTAAGGATCACAATTCATCAAGGGAGAACATGAAGAAAAAGTTCCCAGTGCTGACTTCAGCCCCTCCATCAGACACAGATGTCTCTATCCCCTTCACTGGGTGAAGAAGAGTCCTGCCTCTCCAGGAACCAAAGTGTCTGTGCACATCACTGAGAACATCTTTATAGGCAAACTCTGAGTTCCCAAGTTTAACCTTATGTCAACGCCCTTGGAAGCGACTCTGTAGTCAGACTAACCTGAGACAATGCACCTCAAGTCACATACCTCATAATGGTGGCGCATGCCTTTAATCTCAGCACTCAGGAGGCAGAGGCAGGCAGATCTTTGTGAGGCCAGCCTGGTCTACTCTACAGAGTGAGCTCCAGGACAGACAGGGCTACAGAGAAACTTTGTCTTGAAAAACTGGGGGGGGGGGGGGAGTCACACACCTCAGGAGTCTCCCATGATTACTAAGCTAAAGATACCAAGTCAGGATATGAACACACACTCAGTCACCCAGTCTCCTCCATCTCCCCATAGTCTTGAGTCACTTGAAGCAATAGTGTAATCCTTGTGATAAAATATCACTTGGAGTAGAAATGCTGTCTTTGTACATTAACCATTGGGTTAATTGTGACAGGAAGGATTAATCAACTTGTTTTTGATATTGCCCAGCTGTTTGCCAAGTATGAGCAATAAAGGTCATCACAGGACCTGCAACATCAACACTAATGCTGCAGAGACACAACCATCTCCATTTGAGTACATCAGAACAACATGGAGCTATGGACCACAGTAGTCATGTTTATTCTATTCCCAGCTATACAAAGGCTAGAGAGGCCAAATAGGAAGCTCCGTGTCCTCAGTGGGTAACAGGAGACCATTTTCCAACATCATAGTAATCCAGGGCTTTTTCAGTGGCCACTTGAGTAGGAACCAGAGGGCTTTCCATAAGTTGGTGAGTGCTATTCCGGGGGGGTGGGGGGGGACGGCGGCAGGAGCAGCTTCAAGAAGCACTGGATGAATACAATCAAAGACTGGCAAAGGGTCCACAGCAAAGGCTGTGATCCTGTCCATAACCAGGAGAACTGATCATTTCTGAAACAGTCCAACTCCAGTCAAGTCTAATAAGTTCAAGAAAGAAAGACCCCAAGCCTGTCATGCAAATATGAGGGCTGTGCCTAAAGGAGACACCACATTGGGGAAAGGGAATGTGATAGGGCTAAAAATTTAAGAGGAAGCTAGTTATGCTTTGGATTTTTTCATCAGCTGTGTTGGGTTGTCACCCCACATTTTATTCTTCAACTAATATGACACAGGAAGAAAGCATACCTTCCTTAGGCATGTGAGAGAAGACTTACCTCAAATGATCCAATTAAGTAAACGTCCCTCACAGGTGTGCCTAACCACTTGGGTTTTTAGTTAATTCCAGATATAATCAAGTTGACACTCTACCCCTTGTCAACATGACACACAATCAAATCTCATTATGCATGTTTAATTTAAAAATAAAAGCAATAACCAGGTCATAATTAGGCTTAATGTGATACGTTATCCCACTTAAAACCAAATGCATTACATATTTTAGAAAAGGTGGTAATGTTTTCTGAAGGACATTTTTATAATATCCCAAATACAATTAAGCACTGATATTATCTCAATTGAGGAGAATACAATTACCCTCTACTAAAAGATACACTACAGGATAAAGTAAAAGGAAACACAAATATAAGAACAAACACAATCTTAACAAATATGACAGAAACATTCATGTCAGTTATAAACCCCATTTCTGGTCACATGGCCTTAGAATTCAGTAGACCACTAGGGGTGATAGTGAGTGGTACTATTCCCTTTCCCACCCCTAAAGGACTGGACCCGTGAACCCTGGCTATGGGAGACATCATAGCATAATTTGATCCTGATTCAAAGCATATGCTAAAACCCTGCCCTAGCCCTCCAGGCTACTGTCACCTAACTGGCACTGCACTGTAACTGTGTCTTCAAAAGGCTGATCCATCCTACTATCAGGCCAGCTGCTCCAGGATGGTGGGTAACAAGGTAAGACAAGAGGATTCTGTGGCCATGGGCCCACTGTCACACTTCTCTGGCTGTGAAGTGAGTTCCTCAGACAGAAGTAATACTGTGTGGATAACATGATGGTCGATACAGCATTCTGTAAGTCTATAGATAGTAGTGTTTGCAGAAGCATTACATGCTGGAAACTGAAATTCATAACCAAAGTATCCATTCCAGTAAGGACAAAGTGCAACAGCCACCATGCTATTGGCTGGTCACCCCAATGAATGGTGCCATATCTGAGGGTCAGTGTTAATCTCTGCTGCTGGCAGATCTGACACTCAGCAACAGCTGTCGCCAGGTCAGCCTTGGTGAGTGGAGTCCATGTTATCTCATCTACACAGCCTCCATCTCTGCCACATGGCCACTGTGTTCATGAGCCATTGGGCAATGACAGGGATGGCTCGGAAAAGAGGTTAACTGTCCACAGAACAGTTCATCCTATCCACCTGATTACTGAACTCCTCTTCTGATGTCACCTTTTGATGAA